AGAAAGTGGAATTCACTTTTCATAACCATCTGTCACAAAATATTATCTCTTTTGAAATAATCATATTAAATATCCTTATTGTTACTGTTTATTTGGTGGTTTGTGAACATTGATGGAGTTAGTCAAGAGCTGGATTCATTAATGTCTGTCAAGAAAAAAAACCCAAAAAATCGATAATTAGGACTTCCTTTGAAGTTTCTAACTTTAATCATTTCAGTGATTTAAATGATCTAAACTCTCTTGCCCCCATTACTACTTGTTGGGAAAGAATTAAGAATGGACTTGACTTTTACCAGTTTCTAATCTGGATTTTAAAGTCTCAGTACAGAGATAAATAGTTCTAATCCAGTGAATTATAACATTTTATTTCAATTTACAAATAAATAATCCTGTATAATGGAACCTGATAATGTGCACAGGGGCTTCAACCTCTTTAACTATTACATATACTCAGTCCTAGTAAGCTTTGGTCATTGTATTATGCCTTTCTTAAGAACATCCATTCATTCATTCAATATTTATTATTGTGTACGGGCACATACCAGACGATGCCTGGTCCATCTTCGCATTTCCCAGGGTGCAGTGTATTGCACACAGGTGCCAGCTCACAAATTCTTGTTAATTAATAGATGAATGACTGTTATCTTAGCGTAAATTCTATACCTCTCACTGTAATAGGACTAAAATTCCACCTACTTACCTGAACCTATAAGCCTTTGCCATAGCCACAGCTTAAGGCCCCATTTTTTTTTTTTTTTTTTTAAGATTCTGTTGCTCAGGCAACAAGATTTCTCCATGCCTTCTTGCATCCTGTTGCCAAGGCAACAGGGTATAGTTGGCAGGTTGGTTTGAGACATCGAATGTTTGCTGTATTGGAGATGCCTGTGGTTCACAACTTCTTTGATAAATCAGGGTATGCATAATTGTATTCAAGGATGTGACCTGACTCTAGTCTTTGAGTCACATCAAAGATGATTATGGATGTATGTGACCAGAAAGACCTTTGTGTAACCTCAGGACCTATGGATCTTGCCTCCTTTTAGCAGAAGTCTTGCTTATTTTGACTTATGGGTATTCTCTCCTCCCCTTTTTCATAATCCATATCTAGTTTTACTTAAATTGAATAAATACTGCTTGATCACTACTTGCCAGAATCAACCTAGCCTATCTGCCAATGTCAAAATCAAGCAGTCTTACAGAAACAAAATATTATCGATAAGACAACTGTGTTCCTTTTCTGTGCTAGTTCTAAACTTTTGTGGCTAATTGCTCGTTTCTAGCTGTTCTTGGAGTAGAAGTGGAGAGCCACAGGGGCACCATTCTCCTTTCCTGTAGTGACATCACCTCTGTTAAATTACAGATGGGGGACAAGAGAACTCAACCCTGCATAATGCCCCGTTTTTTCACACATTATGAATGTCACTACCTGAAAGAGATTTCCAAGCAGTAAAGTGCTGGTTAACTCGGTGGTGTGATTACAGTAGCCTCAGAAGGCATTATCTTAATACCATAAGTCAACCCTCTCATTTCATAATGTTAAATATTTCTCCTTTTATCAACATCAACTAGTACTAACTACTTTTCACAATTGAATTAAGTTATGTAATGCACCTCCCTTGGTTCAGAAGTATATTCATAAGGATTTTAGAAGATATAAAATTCTAGAACTCTATCTCCTTCATGGCCAGGACTCCTCTGACACAATAATTATCCAAGTAATTTACCCTGCACTTGAAGTCATTCAGTGAAAAGTTGATTTAAAAAATTTCAAAGCTAGGGGCGCCTGGGTGGCTCAGTCGTTAAGCGTCTGCCTTCGGCCCAGGTCATGATCCCAGGGTCCTGGGATCGAGCCCCGCATTGGGCTCCCTGCTCTGTGGGAGGCCTGCTTCTCCCTCTCCCGCTCCCCCCGCTTGTGTTCCCTCTCTCTCTGTCAAATAAATAAAATCTTTAAAAAAAAAAAAAAAAGACCTGTCTGTTTTAAATTGCGGGTTTTAAAAAAAAAAAAAAAATTTCAAAGCTAATACCGTCAATCTCCACCTTACCTGTTATTGATTTGGGGTGGAAGTTGTAGGTTACCACTCAGATCCAGTGCTTCCGTTTCTGCTTTGGCTTATAAATTCTGGATCAAGTTGGAAGGGATGACCTTTCAGAATCCTTTGAAACTTTCCGTTTCTCTGAAATTCTGTTTCATCAGCCTGAAGTTCTATTAGTCAATTCCCATTTCAAAAAGTTTCAGAGGACACAAGCTTCATTATATTAAGCCTTTTCACCAGAAAACATTTCTGGAATCTTCTCTTTGTGTTAAATCATTTCTGTCTGTTTTCCAACTTACACTATCATGGGAAACCATCCTCTGCAGCCATAATGCTCTATTGGACATAAACATTCAATCCAGTTCAGTCTAGAGGAAGACTTCCCTCAGGCTCTGCATAATTTCAATCTTTTGTCCATCTGTGGACCCAACAATTGTATAGTTAGATGTTGTCACTTCTGGCTATAATGAGTCTGTTCTATTTGGAAATTTCAGATGACTATACTTTCTTTTGATCCATGATATAATTTCCAGAGAAACTAATAGTTTTCCTGCCATACCTCTGCAAGCTTGTAAATTCCAAGACAAGGGACTATTTCTTTTCACTATCCCTACTCTATTGTCCAGCACAGTTTCTACAGATAGTGGGCCCTTAATAAATATTGGTTGAATGAAATTGTGATGGTTATTTTAAAGATACCCTAAGTTCATTAAAGAGGACTTTAGAATTATATTAAGGAGTAGCAAATTTGGCTGCAACTCAGCATTGTCAGGATAGTCTGTTTCACATATCACTAGCCCATTTTTTAATACGTAAAAATGTTTGAAATTTTGGATTCTTCAGGACAACTGGAATAGTCATCTACTTAGCTCGGCATGTGAGTGGTTATCAGCTATCAAAAGTACCTGTAACCTTAGGAATAAAAGATCTCCACAAGTTACATTTTAATTAACCATTTAAGATAGTCTAAGAGGTATTGCAGGCTTAGCAGCTACATGGCATGACTGTTAGCCTCAGTCATAATGTTTATGAAGACAATGACCAACACCTTCCAAGGAAGTGTCTGGCATGCACTGTTGAATATGGAGTCCCCTGGTCACATGTGAATCTTGAGCAGTTGAAGTGTAGCTGGTGTGACTGAGGAATGAAATTCTTAATTTCATTTTTAATATTCATTTAAATATAAAACAGTGTCAAATATCTCATTAGTTTTTATAGTTAGTGCCCACTGAAATGATAATATTTTAGATATATTTGGTTAAATAAGATATGTTCTTAAAATTAACGTCACTTTTTTATTTCTACTTTTTAAAAATGTGGCTACCAGAAAATTTAAATTTTTGTTTGTGGTTTGCATTGAATTTTTGTTGGACAGTGCTAGAGCTGTCTAGAAGGCTAAGGCACAGGGTTACTCCCTTATGTGTGCTGTGATACACCATGTATGCAAAGATATGAGGTGTTGGAACAGCTGTTCTGCTCCTCAGCTCAGCCCGGGAGCATCCTGCCCATTTTTGGATACTACTGAGATTATGCCCCTCTTTGAACTTTCTGAGGGCAGGGCTTATCCATTTTCTTTCTCTAAATATGCCCCTTATCCCAGGACTAGGGAGAGTGTATTAATTGTATAAGGCTGGCGAGTTCCATGACTTTTCACTGACTTTGAGAACTTGGGCTGGGAAAGGGACAGAGAAAATAGTGGGATCAGGAGAGGGTTGGCTTGGTGGGGAGTTAGGAGGAGTGGAAAAGGACTGGGAAGGAACTTACCATTGAATGCAAAGACTTTGGAATTATTCTAGTACTCTAGTTGGGCAATGGGTAAATGAGGGCCAATTTTGTTTTGCTTCATAATTTAGGTATGTGTTGCATTTACATGTCAAGAATTCTGTGCTTAAAATGAAAATGTTGGGGTAAGAGATTTATTAGCCATATTTATTTGTATTTAAATCCCTTCCTTCATTCCTACTCAGCAGATATTTATCATGTGCCTTGAATGTAGTAGATGTTTAATATGTTTTTGTTGGACTTAAATTTTGCATTACATTTTGTTGCATTACATTTAGTATAGTTCTTACAACTTGTCAGGGTACAGATGTTTCTTATTTCATTCCAAAATAACTACTAAGAAATTGGCTCTAGATAACAGCAGAAAAAACAAGGTTGAAGGTTATTTATGGCTGTCCCTGGTGGGCTCTAAGGCCACCTCCAGGGGGTGGAAGGCACTGAGACCAAAAATGCAAAATCATCAGGAAGTCTAGAATTTCAGGGCAAGGCAAACAAGTGATGTTAATAACACTGGAAACTTAAGGAAAAATGTAATCCTCTTAAATGCAAAAGTCATCTCCTTTCATAGGAAGTGTTATAATTTCTTTTTTAAGATGACAGGAACAAAGCATCGAAAAATACTACATGTGAAATTTTAAACACTTATATTTTTTACAGATTTAATTTATTTATTTTAAAGAGAGAGAGAGAGCACACAAGTGGGGGGGGGGCAGAGGGAGACAGAGAATCTCCAGCAGACTCCCCGCAGAGCACAAAGCCCAACTCGGGGTTTGATCTCATGACCCAGAGTCATGACCTGAGCTGAAATCAAGAGTCGGGTGCTTAACTGACCGAGCCACCCAGGTGCCCCAAACACTTATTTTTAATGTAACATCATCATTTTAATTTTAAGTATAATAAGAAAATTATCCAAGACACTAAGATGTAGGCTCTTAATTATTCTTAGAGCTTATAAACCACTGTGATGAGACAGGGTTCTTTGATGTGCCAGTAGAATGTGAGGTCTGCTATGGGTTTGAATGGGTTTATTTTCCTCTTTATTAAGCTTTTGAGAGCATCTTGAGGAAAATAATCTTTTTTTTTCATCTTTATATTGTAAACCATAGTAAGGTATAGGCTTTCAGTCAATGTTAGTCAAATCCAAGTTGAATAAGTCCTTCTAACAGCCCCTAATTCTGTTTTCAGGGACTTCAGTGGTGGAATAGGATCCAGACCAAGACCAGGTAATTTCATGTGGGCAGTAACAAATTCGGGCATACCTCCCTAATATTCAATGTGATTCATGTTACAGTTTCATATCTTTCCCCCTTTTATTTCTTCAGCTTTGCTGCCTCTTGACCTGCTTCTGAAAGTACCACCCCTCATGCTCAGGGCCCACGTTAAGGAGCTAGAGGCCGAGTTAGTGACGGGGTGGCAGTCCCATAGCCTTCCCGCTGTGATTCTTCGCAATCTCAAAGATCATGGTAGTACTTATTAGATCAAGTTGATGTCAAGCACACAATGGGCGAATACAGAATTATAGTTGGGCCTGAAATGTCTGAATGATGCTTGGGAGGTAATTTTAATACAAACAGCAGGAGAATTTCGTTTTGTTTGTCCACCATTATTAGTTTGGCAATTTAACAGTATCAAAATGCTTTCTGTGTTCACTTATTTGATTGAGATATTATAGGCTGTTTTTCTAAAATTTACATTTCTTCTTTGGTGGGGATGTTAACCAGTTAAATTATTTGTGCTTAAAATGCATACCTACTAACAAAAACTAGTAATTGTTTTACATTCTTTTCTTTTCCTTTTTTTTTTTTTCTTTTTGAGAGAGAGAGAGAGAGAAAAGGGGGTGGGGAGGAGCAGAGGGAGAGAGAGAGAGAGAATCTTAAGCAGGCTCCACACCCAGCACAGAGCCAGATGCGGGGCTCAGTCTCATGGCCCTGAAATCATGACATAAGCCAAAATCAAGAGTTGAACGCTTAACCAACTGAGCCATGCAGGCACCCTACATTCATATTTCTGTAAGCTCTACACCTATTTGATACGAGGGAGTGAAGTTTATCTTTGTTTATCTCCTTTATTCTGACACAGATAGTCTTGGTTATTTCTATTTGTATTTGATTAAACAATGTTATATAACATTGTTTTTCTAATAATTTAAATATTATGGATTCTTAAAACATAAAAGTAATGGTTTGGGGAAAAACAGAATGTCTTAGTTAATGTTTCAGATTTCTATTAAAGAGGACCAAAGTACAACAGTAATAGTTAAACTGTTAGCTAAGCCTGGACAATTCAGGGAAAAAGTATGGTGATTTGTGCTTTATATTCATACATATATGACTCTTTAGTATTAAAGTTCTGTTTTACTATTTTGGTTAATTTGGAATATTGCTCAATGCTGTTTTCATTTTGGCTTCCTTAATTCACGTTCTTTTGTAGAGTTAACACCTATGGTGAACATAACGATGTGAATTGATTTACTGTAACATTAGTCCATGTCTTCACATTTATTAAATTTGCTCTGGAAGAGTTATTGACAGTCTGGGGCCATTTACACCATCAGCATAGATGCAAAAAAAGATGGTTTTGTTATTAAGATGTCCATAGCTATCATGCTGACCATGCTGTTTGGTATAAGGTAAGTTCAAACATAATATAATCATGAAGCTAAAATGGTTGTTGATTGATTTTATAATAGCAAGGGCAGAAAAATATATTTATTTAAGCAATTCACAGTTCTGCTGTGATTCATAATAGGAATTCCTTTTCCTAAAGAGCATGTTGAATTGGCCCAGTTTAAGACTTATTTTATATCCATGAAATTGGTCAGAGCTCTTGACCTTTAAACAAACTAACTGCATTAAAGCACAGTTTACATGTAATATATTCTATTTCTAAACTTATAGTTTGTTAGACTATCCAATTTTTAAAATATACTGACAGATATTGTAGAATATACTATAGTGTTGTCAGTGAATGCTAAAGTTCACCCATACAGGAGCTATGTTTCTACTAATATTATAGACACATCAGTGCATGTGAGAACATTTGGGTTGGTATCTATGGGTTATTCTAATTTCAAGTAAAAAAAAAATTCTTTGATTTTTCTCCATCTTAATGCAAAATTACTTTTCTGCTTAATATAGAAGTCATACTTTTTAAAGTGTTGTGGCTAAGTTTGGATTATCGTTGCTTTATTAAATCACCAACAACTGGTACCAGCCCTATCCACTTAGCTTACCTCATCTGCAAATCATGCTCCATTCCAGTTGTTACCTCTGTGTCTTTAGCCTAACTAAGAAAATGAAAAGGTGACATTAATAGAGCTCTCCAACAATAGGGAAACAAGTTTGGACCAAGGTTTCCTGAGACACTGTTGGGCTGGTCAGTTGTAAGTTATATCTTAAATATTTGTTACTCAGAATGGGTAAAGCACTGAAATGTGTGGATGAATAATTTTTTTTACAAGCAGTCTATATTAATGTATTTTTATTTATTTAACATTTGATTTAGCTTTTTTGGATAGAAAGGAACATGCTTGGATGAAAGGAACATTATGTATAACCAAAAGCCCATTATCTAAATGTTCCAGAAAAAATTGTCAGGGAGGGAAGAATTTTGTCAAAATCTGGGTGTGCTCCCAGGACCATATCTAGAATGTAAACATCATTTTCCATATGCTCCGGCAGAACAAATGGTGAGAGCTATGATTTTAGAGTACCAAGTGGCTGTATTATAATATGATTTTGTCAAGCTGGTACTCCTAATGTGAACTTCTAGGTTCATATTGTGGTGACACAGACTTCTGTAGAACAAATAACTATGGAACCATTTCAAGTTAGCACTTATTAAAGTCCTCCTGTTCTGTCTTTTAATACCAACTAGATTGGGTAAAGAATTTATTTTATACATATTTTAAACATATGATGTATACATATACAGATACTTGCAGTTCTTTGCCAACAGAAATGAAAACTTAGGAATTTCTATCTTGCATGGATAAAAATATTAACACTAGTTAACATGGACTGAATGAATGAACAAACATTTTTGACATGTTAAATATTTTAGCTCCATTTCCCTAACTTTAGTCACTGATGGATTACCTAAGTGCACAAATTTGACCATTTCTGAGTATCATGTGTATTACTCTTTTCCTAATATAGGTTTCTTTAATTTGACTCACTTTCTCAACTTAAATTTATTTAAAGGAGAGTTTTTATATTATTGCTACAAATGGGAAACCAGTATAGAATCCCTGGCCAAAAATAGGTGGCAATTGTAAAAATAAATGAAGTATAAGCAAAACAATATTATTAAATCCTAAGTAGATACTGTTTTCTGCTTACCCTGAGGTCTGCTTTCTTTGTTATGAAAGAACATTAGTTACTATTTGAGAAATGGTGATGACATACTCGTTCTATACTAACTTACTCCTTAATATAATCAATAGAAAATAAAATTGGAAAAGTTTTGTATCTGTTCTACTTATTATGTAAGATTATGCTGTATTAAGTTCCCCATGCCTTAGGAGACTCAGTTCTTTAAAAATAATTGTTTGGCTCTGTTGTGTGTCAATCTAACAACTGGATATTTTGAATGGGGGAAAGCATGTGGTGTGTTGTGTCTAAAAAAGAAACGGGTCTTTCCTCTTGCGGTAGGGGACGTGGTGTCATATATTTGTGAAAACTAAATCATAACATAACATATTATGAGAAATGTATCCTTTGTCAAGTACATAGAGTACATTTTAATAATGTGGATGCCATTAGCATGGGTCAAATGTAAATTTGGGGGAGCACCAATCAAACCCAAATTTAAAGTGCACATGTAATGTCAACAAAGACTATGGCCTAATTTGACTGGATTAACACTGACATTTCCCTCTCCCTTGCTCACTTTTCCATTTCCCAGCAGCGAACAGCCAGGTGCTGAACTGATATATGGGAATTCTTATGCTCTGCATTTTGAATAGGAATTGTCACTTCATGATTTCTGGGCTCTTAATTATGCTTTCTTACTAGATGACTGAGAAGCTATTTTTGTACCTGTCTTTTGTTCATAAAGGTCAGATCTAAATAAAGTAGTCAGTGTTTCATCCAAGTATTCCAGAGAGCACGGCTTAATATTCTGGTCCTTGTCATTAGCAACCTTCAGTAGCTTACTTTCAAGTTAGTTATTGACATAAAGTAATTAATACTAAATTTCACAGTTGCCAAAGTGATTTGGAGTACATGCCTTGTCTTGTTTTATTTCATGGCAATTCTTTCAGCAAATAAAGTGCTCACCAGATTTAAAAAAAAAAAATTCTTATAATACTTCTCTATACCATGAAATTTGGCATATAGTTATATACTTTTTTAATATTGTTTGTTGGGATTTGGATATATTGGTTAGATTTCCCAACCAAATTGTAGGCGTATTTACTAAAGTTTAAATATATCTTGGGTACTTTCTCTGAGGTCAGGCCCTTGAAAACTACCTATTGAGTAACCGATGTAGACTACCACTGTATAAACTGTTGTTTATCCTTGCTATTGAGAGCAACAATCACCTTATGATGACTTAAAAAATGGGGAACAATGATACTTTAATGTTAGATTTCAGACTGGGGAAGGGGTGGGAGACAACAAATTTCTTTTACCAGTGGTGATTTGCTTCCTAATTCTTCCTGCCAAAGGAGATAGGTCCCAGGTTGAATGCTGCCTGGAGATGTAGATTTTTTTTCAAGTTCTCGTAGAATAAGGTCTTTCCAAAGAGATACTCAGTCTCACAGAAGTTATTGATGGTTCCAATCTAAGACTGAAATTTGCAAATTGCAAATCAGCTGTTAAATGGTAGCCCACAACCCTGCCTTGTGGGTTTATTCCCTGGGGGAAAGGGTAAGTAGAAGGAGGGGAAGGAAGCTACCCCTGGTAGTAATAAGAGGAGGTCACTGGCTTGGATGGATTGTAGCAGTGTAAAATAATCAAGTCAATGGAGAAAGGCAAGGCTCTCAAATTCCAAACTGCTATTACTAATGCTTTTTAATGGAATTTAAAAATAGTTTCCAAGTGTTTACAATCCCCTTTGAATTATTGTCATACAGTAATATGAATATTGAGGATGGTGACGAGTGAGCCAATATTAATGAGAAAGAGGCAAGAGACCTCTTTCTTCTAGCCAATCCAACCACCTGTCCTCTTCTTAATTAATTAATTAATTTGAGAGAAAGTGAGCATGGGGGAAGGCGCAGAGGAAGAGAGAGAGAATCCTGAAGCAGACTCCCCAGTGAGCACGGAGCCTGATGCCAATTCCAGGACCCTGAGATCATGATCTGAGCTGAAATCAAGAGTAGGCTGCTTAACCAACTGAGCCACCCAGGCTTCTCATAGACCTCACCCATTCTTAATTGACATTCCTCACTATGGATTCCATAGATTATTTGGGATACTTTAGAGAGGGTATTAATTAATTTTTTAAAAATTTGTAT